GAAGATGATTCTCATTTGAGATTCCTTCACTAAGTCATTTTTTTTAAATATTAGTAGGAAATTTGAGAGATTGCTCTGAGTCTTTCTGTACACTGGATAAGTCTTTCAAGTTTATGAGCTAGTAAAATGGTGGCTTACAGAATTACAGGAGGGCTTATGCTTCTTGAAAGCCAGTCATAGTTTGTCATGTCTCTGACGCAGTGATCAGAAAGAAGCAGGAGCTGGGCTCCTTTATTTTATTTACAATAGCACATGGGACCTGAATTTTTCCTGTATCCTAAGAGAACACAACTCCCATCCACAATCCCATCACCTCCTCTATGCATGCATGTAACAGAAGGTTGGTTCTTTACCACTCAGATCTTTAGTTAAAAGCTCGTTACCTGAAGCTTAACCTCTGAACAGTTGTTAAAGGCCTGATTCTGTCTTTAGCTTATGCAAGAAATCATTAGAGGTCAAAATCATCCTTTTGACATTGCGAGTTTATATTCTGTATAACAAAAACTGCAGTAAAGGTAATCAATGATATTACGATGGTTCTTTACTAATGGAGGACATTTCTACTTCCAATATTTTTTCAAGACAATGAACAACATGAAAGAGGTGAACTTCCCTCACATAGCCACAAAACTGGCTAAGCAGAATCTGTTTTTCAGTTTCCAGTCATCTCCCTGGATCAAATTCTAAAACGTGCCAGTACCCAACCTTTGACAAGGACTAGAGCCAACAGAAATTTATAGAATTTAAATCAAAGATGCCTAAAGATTTAACTCAGCAATACTGAAAGACATACTAAAAGATAGCTACGTGGTGGTAGATTTCACGCTCAAGGGAAATTTTGTTTCTGGTGTATGTTGGAGTGATTTAACTGGGACTAAGAAATGTCATCTTCTGCTAGGGTAGAGTCTGGTCATTGTTGTGCCATGCAACTACATATTTTATGTTATTCCTATGAATGAAAATTATTTTATTCCAGGGAAAACTTATTAGAAAATGATAGTTTATTATTCTAAACAAGCGCATTTTTATGGATAGAAGAAAGAACCAAATAAAAAACGCAGTAACAGTGTGAAGAAAGGAATGGATTTCCATCACTAATATATTTTATCCCTCCTTCTCTTCTATAGGTTGCCCAGGAATGTGGGACAATATTACATGCTGGAAACCTGCAAGTGTGGGTGAAATTGTCTTTGTCAAGTGTCCTGCACTGTTCAGGTTTATCATCTCTGAAGACGGTAAAGTATCTTCTCTTTGCTCTTTGCTTCTGTCTGGTAAAGCTGCATGGCCAGCATGAGTGTAAAACCTCACTTAGATACTCAGTATAAAGGGGAATCAAAAACTCTACAGAGGTCTGGAGTTGGGCTTCAGTTTAAAAAAATACTGTAGAAAACCGGGATGTTTGTGTGTAGGGGGGTGTGTGTGTGTGAGTGTAGGGGTGGCAGGGAATGTGTGAAAAAAGCCTTCACAGACTATACAACATGAAAATATCACCAACTCTAATTGCTAAAGGGGATGTTATGCCCTTGGGTCTCCGCTGAAATCAGTGAGACCTGAAACTGTGTTTGGGTCTTGGATAACTAATCATCACAATTCAAACTTATTTTAGAAAATAACTAAAAGTCAGAGCTGGGTTCTGCTCATGTCTAAGGAGAACATAGGCATGAGATGACCAATGTGAAGAGCCCCCAGTTTGGGAGTCCAGGGAAGAGTCAGTGGGAATTAAAGATTCCTGGAGAGATGCAGAAGCTCCATCATGCCTTTTTGGGGTCTGTAGAAATGAGACATCACCATCCTTCTGTCCTTTGCCGCTGGCACCAGCAACCAAGCAAGCAAATGAAAGATCGGAAATTTGGGCTGTTTCTGCTTCCAGCATGCATTGCTGCCTAACAGAGTTGTCCCTTGTCTTGCAAAAAATACTGCAGATGGTCAGTTAAGCTGGTGCATTTTCTCTTTTCTCTCTTTCTGCTACCACTTTAGGCTTGGACCAAAAGTCCCATGCACTCACCATACTTGGTAACCAAACCCTGTTAGACCCCAGCTGGAATTCTTATACAACCCAGCTGCTCCCAAATGAGTTGCTATTAAAAGGAGAACCTACTCTAGTAGTGGTGATACTATTTGACCTAGTTATTATTACCTAGTGCTTTTTAATGGGAAGAGGCTCTGTGCAAGCTACTGTTTACATGATACAAAAAAAAACATGTCCTTTCTTGATTTTTTTAACCTTGGAAATGCATGAAAATTTGCCGGGTAAAAATGAGAGTGTGTGGACAGGAGGAAATAACTATTAAGTTGCTCACAGCAGATATATAGTTTGATTAGATGTTCTCTTGAAATTACTTTTTATTTTCTCTCATGATTCCATGAAACGATCTTCCCAGGTGAATGACTGGGAGACTAAGTCATCTCGTCAGTGTTAACTAACAACAAGCCTTTGCTGATAATTAACACAGTTTTGTCCATCTCCTCCCAGTGCCCATCTAGGCTACTGCAAATCACTTAATTAGCACTGTCCATTGAGGAACAAGTTCATCATTTTCCCCCGGGATCCTTTTTCCCCAAGATTATTTTACCAATGAATTATTCATTTACAGTCTTGAGTGCAAAATCCACCTTCTCTGCATTGCCACACACAGAACACAATTTGTGGGAGACAGTAAGTGTTTCATACACAGCTCCAGGAATACTGAAATCCTTACCTTTAAATACATCCATCTGAACTCACCCAAACATTGAAGCGCGTGCCAGTGCTCTTGTGAAATGGAGAAGAAATTAAGGGTGATCATTACCTCATCTAAATTTACCCATGTGAAACTCGAGTGTTTTCTCTGTACAAGTCCTCTAGACTCCATCTGTAGTCAGTGGAGAGAAAGAGACCAACAGAAGGCAATTTATGTTATTCCAAGAGACATGAGGTGAATCATACCTCTCTTTATCCAGCAAGTACTACGGGCAATTCACTTAAACCAGGCACCTAATTTTTGAAAGGGGAAAGATAAGTCCCTCTTTAAATTATCAAGTATGAAAATACAATTACTACTGTAATTCTATGTGCTTTAATTCTAGCCAGTGTAATTAAACATAATCTTTACTGCTGTAATATTGGTTCAGTATTGACTCAGTGGGTACAGTGGCACTTTCTGAGCCATCCATGTTTAGTGATAATAGAAAAAACAACACATCAGCATCCAGTAGGGTTTGTATCCAGCATGGGTAAGGAAATATTCTTCCCTCTTTCAGGTTTTTTTAGTGGGTTGTTGTTTTTTTTTCAATTCTCCATGACTTTGTAATCATGGTTAACTGATTTTGTTGACTGCTTGTCATTCAGTCTAATTGTCAAACCAATTCTGGTCATCCTTTGTGCAGGATATAAACTCAACCAAAAGTTTTCGCTATCCAGTTATCAGTGATGCTTGCAGTCTGCAGGCAAAATACTTTTATGTTATTTATTGCACATCAGCAGATGGCTGATATATTGTTATCTTCTGATATAACTGCAGGAAGCCTGCTGCTCATACAGCGCCTGTCCGAATTTCCATTAGGACCCCTCCTTTTCAGTGGCTTGTAATCTACACCCCCTACATACCTTTAAGCTACAGTGTGCTAACACATGGTAACATAACATCACACTTTTCTCTCTCTCCCTGCCTGTTTTGGACGCAATGCTCAGAGATATTGCTAGTTGGATACTACGGAGATTGGTGCCATGTACATCTACAGCACAGGAAATCTCCCCCACTGCCAACCTGTCCACACACCTCTGCCATGGGCCTTTTAACTATTCTTTATTTCAAGGGATGTCTGTGATGCTTCTATTTATATCCCACACAAATACGGTGCCTTTTCACTTTTACTGATGAAATTTCTTTTCCATGGTGCTATCATTTCTGAAGTAATTAAGGCTAAGAGGGCTCTTGAGAAATCATCTAACCTGTCTCCCTCCTCAAAGACAAGGTTAGCTCAATACGATCTATTCCAGTGCTTAAGTAACCTGTTAATAGGAAAAACTATTTTATTTTTTTAAATAAAAAGTAATATACATTTTAGAAAAAAAAAAAAAAAGAAAAGCTCTACTATAACTAGAGCTATGTAAAATAAAGTCTTGAAATAATATTTTCAAATTGTTTGCCTAGGATTTCCAGACCTGTTCGCATACTGTACTTTACATTTGACCTGCAGCAGGGTGATAGCATGACCCTAGGGGCGGAGTAGTCAGTCCAGCCTAAACATATGTCCTGCTTTCTTTCTCTCTTTACAGGATCACTAACAAAAGTGACAGCTGTTACCTCTTGTAGTGTTGGTTTTGAGGGGTTTTTGGACATCTGTTCAGTAGGAACAAAACCAAGATTCATGATTCAGTAGATAAACAAACAAACATTTAATCTGGAGTAGTTTGAATTCTCTACAGATCCGGCTGGATTTGCACTAGTGACCCCAAGGTGGAAATATCTACATCCGTAATCACTCTCCTGGGTGAATCAGCATGAGTTTTCACTATCATTGCTGCTAATTTTAATTAGCCAAGTATGTTTATTTCAATGAGGGCTTAATGAAAAAAGTCACATTTTATGATGGTTCCTTAAATAAAGGGTTATTAGATAACTAAAATATTTCTAAGACACAGCTAATCACATTTTATAGATTGTTATAGTATCCTCGGGCTGCTGTTAGGAATATGCTGTTAGCATATTCATTCTTAATACAGCAAAATTTTTATATGACCATAAATAATTTTTACAAACAGTAGCAATAACTTTAAATTATACTTTTAAAAAGTTTGCCCTATGAAGCACTGAAGTACTTTTAGGTACAACTGCTTGTATAACAACAGGCAAACCATATGATGTGTTAACCTTAAAGAGGGGTAGGAGTTACTCGGCTTTGGATATCTAAAAGTTATATGTGTAAGTCTGAACAGATCACATGGATTTCTGGTTCAGTAAATGGAAAGCAATGGGTACTTGTAGAAGATGTCTGCTCTGAGCTTTCTCAAATGCATATCTTGAGATGAATGAAGTCACTGGAGAGGGCTGTTTGTTTTATGAATTTCAGAAAGGAATTTGGCTGCCTAGACTTGGATGTCTGATTTCCATATGCAGTAAAATGGAAAAAAAAAAAAAAAAGAGACTACAAAATAAAAATTAACCAACTAAACTGTCATCTGGAGAGATGCTTTGCTGAAAAATTATCTATGGATTTAGCTAAAAATACCAGCTGTTGCTGGTTTTAATTTGAAAATATACTCTGCTCTAACCTTCACTGCAATTGAACTGAGGAGTAACATTTGAACTGTTGTCAACGTCATACAGAAAGCCTAATGTTAAATCCCATGGTGTGTGGTTGGTGACCCTTGCTTGTAAAATTTCATTTCACCTCTCTGCTCCTCCAGAATCACCAGAATTTTTCATTTCCTTTGAGATGCAGACTGTGAACAAAAAGATTGTTCTCAAAATCTCTCCACATGAAAAAAACATACTAGCTCCTGAGTCTTTTCTAATCTAGTAGGCTAAGGATTTACAGTGGCTTTCCTAAACACTATGGAACCCTCCTAAATAAAGGCTTCCTATATATTACTTTCTTTTCCTCTTTAACATCCATTTCTTTGATTGATATCCATCAATTCACAATTTTATTTTTAGTGGGAGCTATAACTTCCATGATGTCGCTGTTGTATATTATGCTTTCTCCAGTACCTTCCCAGTACCGACTCCAGAGACAACTGCTCTAGAACAGAGTATATTTAAAACATTCTAAGGTGTCTTTACAAAAGAAGGAAAAAAAAAAATGTGTGTCAAGCTGTGATGTTGCATTTCACTATGACATAGCAAGACCTAGAGATGGCCCCAACATAGTGATCTGAGCTCCCAGCTGGAAAATTTTCTCTGTTTTGTTCTTTTTCTCTTTTTTTTTTTCCAAACAGAGTTGCTACTGCCTGGCAGTGGAAATCTACAGAACCGAAGTCTGTGTTTTTCTTTCTTTGCCCTGCACAGCTGAGATATTCTGGAACCTATAAAGCCACATTACTCAAACAGACCATTGAAAGAAACCCAATAGCCAGATCAGAAAGGAGCATATTTTTAGGTCTTTGATTTGCAGTAAAAACTAATACAAATGATAACAGGCAGTTTCTGAGCATTGCCATATGCTCCACATTGAGAAAATTCTTTCATTCACAAATCCAAATAATAAATATGATTAGCTCTTACTGAATCTTCCAGCAATTCAGAATGTTTAT